GAGGGTCGCCGGGGGTCGGCGAGGGTTGTCGAGCCCCGGCCAGGGGCCGGCGACCCTCGCCAACCACTGTGCCCACCACCGCCGGCCCTTCCCGGCGGTGGTGGCAGCAGCCCTCGCCGCTGCTGCAGGGCTTTTTTTTTATAAATTAATTAATTAATATTTTAAAAAAATACACGTCAGTGGGCTAAACGGCGTCGTTTTTGGTTTTTAATACTGACTGGACCTCTCCGGCGAGCCGTGTCAGCGCCACATCGGATTTCCGGCGAGCCACGTCAGCATTGGCAATAAAGTGATCGATTTTCAAAAAAGTTGGCACCAAAGTGATCCGAAAAAAAGTTATGGCACCAAAGTGATCGCCGTACACAAGTTATGGCACTTGTGGTGTACTTTTGCCTCGTGTATTGACTGCAATCATTAAGAAGAGACATGAATAGAGGTAATTCATACTTTCAAAGTCGTCGGTCCACCAAATGATGCTGCAAAAAGTTGGTCTTTTTCAATTTTATACTTCTGTATAGTATTACTTCTTTATCCTAGTTGCTTAACCTATGACTGTTGATTAATTATTCATCTGATTGACGCATTTTGAATACGTCGGGATTCCCAAATTTCTCTTTCTTGTTTGAACATACAGTCGTCGATTTTTCGATCGATCGCGTATTAAAAGTCCTCCTCATTCAGTGTAAAAAGAAAAGGAGAAAAATGACTGATCTCTTCAAAAAGGAAATCCTCTTTATTCCATATAAAATTGTAGATCAAAGAAAAGGGCAAATACTATGCGAATGATGTTAGAAGAGGAAAAAAATTAATGGAGAAAGTAAAAATACGATTTGGTTATGTTGAGAAGAGTTGAGGTTATTATTGCATATTGAAGATGAAATTAATTTAAATTCTTATTGCAAAAGAGAAATATGGGGTCACCGTCGGGCGTTTATAAAATTACGATCGGGTCTTCTGCTCAATAAAGGGGGTTATATGGGATTTCAAAAGTCTAAAGTTGAAAGTTGCTTTAACTTTGCTTAAAAATAGATACATGTAGATAAAGAGATAGATTGCATGAGATTTTGTGGAACTTTTGACAAATGTTCTAAAAGTCTAAGCCATTCAATAATTAGATAGTTTCCTACTTAAGTAGGATCTTTTTATAGAAAGTGCCTCCCGAGGATTTGTTGAGCGATCAAACAAAAGTTATTGCATTTGTCAATATATTGATTGCCCTCGCGGTATACACAATTAATTTTTTCTAAATGAAATACTTACTAACCAATAGTATGTTTAACAGGTGGCCCGAAAGCACTCATTAACAAGACCCTTTTAAATGTCACAACACTTCCCTTCTCAGTTAGGTTTTATCTAATTTAATCGTGAATGATGTAAATCCAGAATCTCTTATTTGATACAATGAAAGATCTTACAAGGTTACTCTCGATTATTGTTAGGTGAAAACTTGATTTAATATTTCAACATCATTACCATATAGATACATGGATCGGCTACATTTTCCTATCACGCTAAGGAAGTAACAATTGGACCAATAAATTTCATGGGGCTTTAAGTTGAGTCATGTTTTATCATCATCGCTAGATGTGTCAACAATTCAAGTTGGGTCGCCGGGTCAAGTTTCAGTGATACCCGACCCGACCCGACCCGATCATTGTTATATGTTTATTGCAAACCAATCTGTTTGAAAATGTGGGTTATGACAATAAATATAGTGCAATAATTGTGAAACGTTGAAGCTGAAGCAGCTACCTATGAAGTAACATAAAAGAAAAGTAATGACAGGAGTGGGAGAATCAGAGTCGAAAGGGGGATCTCTCATGACCTAAGATGAAGAGAAAAGTCTATCTATTTTATTTAGTTATTCAGTTAAATTTAAACAAATCATCCGTTATCGGATTTGAATCAATGACTTACGGCTTACCATGGTGTTACTACTATTATGATGCACGTCTGTTTACCTATTACCCGAACCGGTAGGAGATCCGACCAGAGAAAAATCCGAAATTTTCTGGTCAATTCGAGCCGGTTCGGTTATTTTTAACACTCCTACTCATCACCATAGATGATCTTCTAGATTGGATTCAAGGGGAAGCTGTCATTTCCGACCCACATGCGGACCCGAGTAACAAAGAAGCATCTTTACTTAAGAATTCAATTAGCATGCTAATCTCACCTAAGAAAAAGCTCCTTCTTCCTCCCTGGGGTCCATTCCATTGACGGCCAATTATTGATTACACACTGTGCGGCATTAATCTAAAGCAGGACCATCCAATTTGCCTTCTCACATTTCTCATGGTGTCCATATCAAGAATGTAACGCGAGGCTCCCAAAAAAAACGTGCATATTAAAACGACTAGGGCAGGCAAGTGGTCGGTCAAGGGCGGTCGGTCACGCGTTCTCCTCTTTTCTTCACTTACTTTAGAAAAATTGAAAAAAAAAAAACAAAGGCAATGAAAACGATTAGTGACTATTCAACTAAACCCAGATATATGACGTGTGTCTAATGCCGAAATCATTTGGATTTCGTGAATTCTAGCATGTGTGCACATACGTTGGCTTGTAGGACATATTGCTCATTTTTTCTTCCCTAAACATAAGTAGGGTACACACGAGAAGTTGTGTCAAGTTACCAATGTGTTTCTGAATTGCGATTTTAGCTATGTAGTAAGGTTAGTTTCAAAAATTGGGTACCTCCGTCGTTATGTTTGCGCTTTTTTTTCTTCTTTTCTTTTTATATTTTTGCTCATGATATTATCGAAACGGTTTCGAGTTTATTTCGCATGTTCGCTCACATTAGTTTCGTGTCCACAAAAAAATGCTCCCGTCACTTAGTTCACACGTTACCTTGTTGTCTCCTTCCTCGCTTTATCTGTCTAGCCCATTTTCTCTAGCATTAGAGTGGTCGCTCCACCACTATATAGATGCAGCTGTTTCTTTTCTTAAAATTAACATGGATATATACATTTTGTCTGCATAACTTTGTCGATCAAAGTACCTTGGACTCTATCTAGATTCCAGCAATTGGACCTAACAAATCAGTCGGTGCCGACAAAAGTCTGACGTGTAAATACTTTTTGTCACGGTGGAATATAATTTAATGCATGTCCTTAATAGACTAAGATCACGATCAAATCTTGAATAATGAGAATTCTCAACGAGAATGCCGCATTGAAATTTTCCTCGTTTAAAAATTCTAGTCAACTCCATCTAGCCAGATTTGAAGAGGAGATACTTGATTAGAAAAGTTATATAAGTTCAATTACTTGATTAGACAGAGTAAAAGTTCCTAAGATTTGATTGGAAAAAGAACGCGCAAGTTGAGGGTGTAATTTTACTTTTGAAATACTTCTATATGGGCCCTATTTTCCTCCGGTAGGCCCTTTAATTAGTTAATTTTGAACATATACATTATACATATGTCAACTTAATTAAAAGTAACACGCACACACACTCTCTCTCGCACCATGAGCATTCGTTGCGCCACTATCATCTCTAGTAAACCTGTCAAATGGGTGAACTTGATCGGGTCAAAAAATGAACCGATTTAAATTGATCCATTTAACTTATTTTGATCTATTTCCATGTAATGCAATTCTAGTGACCCATACCCGAGTCAAGACATAACCGACTCAATCCATATTGCTAAAAAGCTTTCATATTTAGTTCAATTTAGGAAAAATCATACCCAAATTGAGGTGAGAGCGCGGAGCGAGCGAGTGCGAGACAAAGTGAGGGTGAGAGAAAGTGAGAAAAGAGTCATAGATGTGGGTCAGGTCTAAGTAAGTCGTGAACTCATTTAACACCCGTATTATTTTGAACTTTACCATTCTAAACTCATTTACTAAATATAACAAACGTACGATGAGTTAAGAAATAAGTCTCTCGACGAGTCTCTCTCTGTATCTCTTTGTTTGCTTGCACAACCCGACCCTCAAGCCGAGCAGGTCCGAGGCTGTGGAGAGAGAAAGATTGTTTATCCTTCTTTATCGCTTTTGGTTTGTGGGTGGAAGACATAGCAAAAGTCACCACCATTCATGATTACTGCAAAGAGCACGTTACCACCAAGAGAGGCCATCACTCCCCATAGTCCTGCCAATTTCCACCAAAATCCATGATTGAATCCTTCCCACTCCCTCTGAAAAATCCCCCCATAAATCAACCAAAGCAAGCCGCACGTGCGACTAACGACAGTACAATTCGGGAAACAAATGTGATAAAAATTTTAAATCCATTATATTTGTATCAATTTCGTTATAAATCGTTTAATTATGTCAATTTAGCATTAACCTTTTGACCTAATGTCAATTCAGTCCTTTCAGCTAATTTTGGTCGGATATTGCTGACGTGAAAGCTGACCGGCCTACGTGGCATTACCGGTGCTGAAGTGGACAATTTTTAATAATTTCCGATTTTATTTTTATTTTTTCAGATTTTTCTCTTTTTTGTTCCTTTTGTCGGTAACCGGTCATGGGCGATGGGCAAGCGAGCTGGCCTCGCCTGGGCAATGGTCGCCGTCACTGGCCACAGGCGAGAGCTCCCCTCGCCAGATATGGCGAGACCGCCCTAGTCAAGGCGAGGATCGGCCTCGCCAGATTTAGGACATCTCGCGCTTGTCCCGTGAGATTCACAAATTCGCACGACACACGTGCGTCCACTGGGATCGCGACACGGGTCACTTACACCCATGCTTTTTACCAGCACTTCATGCCGACCAGTCGTTCACGTCCCCGAGACCCCATAGAGGCATCCCCTAAATTTAAGCCCCCCAAAACCCCCCCTTTCCTTCTCTCCACAACCCCCTGTCTCTCTCTCTCTCTTTCTCTCCCTTTCTCTCCCTAAAATCAAGAACCCAAATTTGGAACATCTCCAAGGAATTTTTGAGAATTCAACCTCGCCGCAGGCCAAGCTGGATTCTTTCCTTTTTCCGACCGTTTATCGGATTCGAAGAGATTGATGAGACGACCGCGATAGGCGCGACGGTAGCGGCGGCGGCGGCGATGGCGATGTCGATGTCGGCGAACTGGCTGACGTACTACCTCGCCGAGCACCCGGCGATCGTCAACTTCCGGTGGAGCCACACGCATTCGTGGGGCTCCACCTGGTCCTTCCTCGCCTCCTCCGTCTCCCTCTACCTCGCCCTCTCCCTCCTCCTCCACCTCCTCCTCCTCCTGCGCCGGCGACCCGTCCCCGTCGGCCCCGCCCCGGCCCTCCACAGCCTCCTCATGGCCCTCCTCTCCGCCACCATCTTCGCGGGGGCCCTCCTCTCCTCGGCCGCCGAGATCCGCGACACCCGGTGGCTCTGGCGCCGCTCCCGGACGACGCCATTCCAGTGGTTCCTCTGCTTCCCGCTCGGCACCCGTCCCTCCGGCCGCGTCTTCTTCTGGTCCTACGTCTTCTACCTCTCCCGCTTCCTCCACATGCTACGCACCTTCCTCACCATCCTCCGCCGCCGCCGCCTCTCCTTCGCGCAGCTCTTCAACAACGCCGCCCTCACTTGCGTCGCCTTCCTCTGGCTCGAGTTCTCGCAGTCGTTCCAGGTCCTCGCCATCCTCTCGGCCACGCTCGTCTACGCCGCCGTGTACGGGTACCGGTTCTGGACCGCCATCGGGCTGCCCGTTGCGTGCTTCCCGTTCGTCGCGCACTGCCAGGTCGTGCTCCTCGGGTGCAACCTGGTGTGCCATGTCGGCGTCCTGACGCTGCATCTGGTCAAGGGCGGGTGCAACGGTATCGGCGCGTGGGTGTTCAACTCGGTCCTGAACGGCGCGGTCTTGATGCTGTTCTTGAACTTCTACGTGAAGATGCATCTGGGCAAGAAGAAGGGGGTTGTCGGCGGCGTCGGCATCGGGGGCGTGAGCGAGGCTCGCGATCGAGATCGTGAACCGTCTTCTACTTTATGCTGCGGGTTTGATGTAATTAAAGAGGCAAAGGAGGAGAGGATCGTCAAAGAGAAGGCGTTATAGGGATTGAATGGTGGGTGGTTGTTGGTGGTAACTTCTTTTTGATAGCTCTTAAATTTTGGGGGAAGCAAAAAGTTTGCTGGGGACCCTTTTCTCTATCTCTATCCCTCTTTTTTTTTTTTTTTTATAAGGTAAGAGATCTCTATACCTCTTTGAGTTTATCTTTTCTGCAGAAATTGATATATTTATATATACTGCAATAAAATGGTTCAAAAGATTTTCCAATGTTGTAGAATTCTAGTGTGTAGTAGTAATTAGAGGAGTGGGTGGTCCTGTTGAAATGGTTGTTTCATCTGTGCTAGGGAATTTGCATATCGTTATCAACTTTTCTGACCACTCCTCTGAATTGAGTGCGACGTCTAACTTATTCTGAAAGTTTAAGGCCTTAAAATAATGATGGAGAACGCAAAATCAATTTTTCATTCACATCAGTTGGATCTATTACTAGAGGAGGGTTCGGCGGTATTACCAAGAGAAATTATTCTTTTAATGCGCTTCGGAGTTCGAAACGATCTCGACAGACTTCAAAGTTTTCAAAAGACGAGTAAGTGCCCTCCGTGGTCAATTTGCACCAGCATAAAGAAGGTTGGTGAAAGCTACTCGCTCGTTGTATTCGTTGAGAAAGATCCCCCGTTAATTAAGGCCAACTTGGAGTCCCACAGTCGACCAAAATTGACCCGGCTCGAATCAAATCAAATGGTCCCTCCCAATACCAGGAAAACGTGGCATCATTCCAATCCGCTAGGACAAGAACATGCATAGAGACAAGAACAGTCGGGTAGGTATTTGTTACTATCAGTCAACTTCTCTTCTCCGTATGTCCATGAAGAGCTTGTCTTGTCAGCCTTTCGTTAGGGTCTCCTGAAACGGGATAAAAGAATATCCCCCCCAGAAAACGAACTTAACCCTAGCATGGCAACAGACATATCTTAGTGTTCCGTGTTGCATGCAGTTGTGACTGAGGCGTGCGACGGTGATGATTGACAAGCGTCCGAGAAAGGTCAAAACCCTCTCGCTCGCACTAATTGTCTTTCTGTCAAGAACTGCGTGCGTGCAAGTGATGGAGTTACGATTTCTGAGAGAGAGAGAGAGAGTTCAAGTTCCGATTCTTGCATAGTAAATTGGTGAGGATTTAACCTCGTTGTCCTCAGTTTGGCAAGTCAAAGGAACCCTTCTTCACGTCCGGCTTTTGACTGCTCTTTTACCCACGTCTGAAGCTGAGGATGAGCAAACACTTGGTTGCTGTCAGAAGAACTCGCCATCATTCTAACCTTCACAGGGTTGTCTGATAAACGCATCTATGCACTACTATGCACTCGTCCTGATTGATACAAGGATGGATCTTGGGGATCGTTGTCTACAGTCTGGGGCTGCACACCAGAAGATCTGCGTATCAGCTAGGGAAGGGTTTAGCTATGGCCGCCCGCAGTCATTTACGTCGTGTCAGACACTTATTTATCATGTGGTGCGTTCTCCTACCATGTCGGGTTGAGCATCCGAAGGTCATGTCGGGTTTACCTGTTTATTTATGTCATGCATCGATATTTATTTGATTTGTCGTTTCATGCCTTTTTATCATGTCATGTCGTGTCTTTTGATTCGTTATCTTGTTAAATGTAGGATTGGACATTTTGTGCATTAGCTATGTCGTTTCATTTGCTAATCCTGTCCTTGTGCGCTTTGCCATGTCATCAACTTCACTGTCTGTGCATCATTACAACACATCGCTCATCTTTATTTCCCATCATCACTTAGGACATATGTTGATTGGTTTCCTCATTCATGCCATGGCGTGATTTCAAAAGTACACCAACACGCATTGCACGGTGGAGTCCAATCCTTACTCGCGTGAAGATGCTGTCACCTCGAGCACGGATAACGACATTTTTGACAACCAAAAAGAATTTAATTGAAAAATGTGCTACCAAAAAGGCGGCATGGGATACTAACCAAAATCCTAACATGTAACTCAACCCTCAACTTTATAGCTGCGTTTGATCGTCTAGATTTCTAGTCAGGATATGATTTGATAGGATAGACTATGAAATTCAAAGAATTTGCTATATCCTATCTATTATTTGGTGAATCGTAGTATTAAAGTCAGAGATTTTCACATTTTATCATGTCTATTATTTGTTACGAACATCATATTAGTGAAAATGAACTTAAAAATTGCACAAATGGAGATGATAAAAATCTCTCATAACACTCTTACCTACTTCATTTTTATTTGCTTATTTGCTTATTATTTTTCCATCTCTTTTTTAATTAATTATTTTTTATTTCTTTTTCCCCTGCCATCATTCTCTAATAAAATTTTATTAATTAGTAAAATATACTAATATACCTAAACTATTTAATAAATATAAATACTAAATGCATTTATTAATGTATATGAAATTTATATCATAAGATAGGAAGAAAATTGAATATATAAATAAAAATAAGAATAAATAAAAATGAAATTATTTTTATTTTTTGTTATTTTGAATTTTTATATTAAATTTTAAATATTATTTTTATATTTAAATATTATTTTAATTTTATTAATTTAATAAGTTTGTTATTCGAGAAAAATAAATTTTATATTATAGATATTAGAAATCCTATCCACCTTTATCTCACCTCCCCATGGGATAATTTTATCATGACTATATCCCTCATATATCCGACTTTATCATGTCTTGGACAAGCACTAAACACGCGATAGGATAAAAGATATCATATCCTGAATTTTATCCCGACTACCAAACATAGCCTAAGTTCTATTTTGGGAGAGTTTACCAAAAATAAGTCGTAAATCTATTATAATTTTGTCAATTCAATCATACCAATTGAGTCCTAATTTTTTGTTTTTATATAAATTCAGTCCATTCAATCAATTTTGGCCAGCTAATATTAACGCGAACGCTAGCCAACCTACGTGGTGCGATCGGTATTGATGTTGACATTTTCTTAAATAATACTTTAATGTTTTTTGAATCATTTACCTATTTTTTTTTATTTTTTTCTTCTTCCCTTCTTTCTTGGCAAAAGTACACTAGAAGTGCCATAACTTGTGTACGGCGATCACTTTGGTGCCATAACTTTTTTTCGGATCACTTTGGTGCCAACTTTTTTGAAAAACAATCATTTTAGTGCCAATGCTGACGTGGCTCGCCGGAAATCCGATGTGGCGCTGACACGGCTTGCCAGAGAGGTCCAGTCAGCATTAAAAACCAAAAACGACACCGTTTAGCCCGCTGACGTGTAATTTTTTTTAAAAAAATTAAATTATATTAAATAAATAAAAAAAAAAAAAAGCTGCTGCGGCGGCGCAGGAGCCCTGCGCTGCTGCCTTGCCCCACCACCGCCGGAAGGGCCGGCGGTGGTGGGCGCAGTCGGCGAGGGTCGCCGGCCCTTGGTCGAGGCCCGGCGACCCTCGCCGAGCCCGGCCGAGGGCCGGATCCGGCGAGGCGAGACCTCGCCGTCGTGACCCGTGCGACGGCGAGGTCTCGCCTCGCCTCACCGGATCCGAACTCTCGGGCTCGGCGAGGTCGCCGGGGCGGGGCCGGCGACCCTCGCAGACCATCTGCGCCCACCACCGCCGGCCCTTCCGGTGGTGGGTTGCGGCAGCAACGGCGAGGGCTCCCTCGCCGCTGCTGCAACCTTTTTTTTTTTATAATTATTTTAATTATTATTATTTTTCTAAAAATTAAAAAATTCGAAAAAAAGCCACATAATTTTCACGTGTACAAGTCAGACCATTTTTTTTAAATATAAATGCTAGGTCGGCTTTTTGGCCGGAGTCACTAAAGTGATCTATTTTCTCCGACTTGGCATCAAAGTGATCCGAAAAAAAGTTATGGCACCAAAGTGATCGCCATACACAAGTTGTGGCACTTCTGGTGTACTTTTGCCCTTCTTTCTTCCTCCAGGCAAGGTTCGACCCAGCCACTAGTGAGGTCGACCTCGCCGTCTTTAGGCGAGCTCTTGCCAGATTTGGTAAGGTTGGCCTCGCCATGGTTGGGCGAGCCCTAGGTAGCACTGACACCGACACCAACATGCGACACAACATGCCGACACATCATTTCTCAAAAAATAAAGAATTCCGACATGTTGGGACACATTGTATATTAAATGTATATTTTTATATATACATGATAAATTATTATTTTTAAATTTGATTCAAATTCATAAATAAATAAATAATAAAAAAAGTGCCTAGAATGAATTTACACTAAAAACATTATAACACCATTTGTTAATATAAAAAAGTTAAGAAACTAAAAGTACAGAATTAAATTTGCAAGAAAAGAAAGCACAAGATCAAGAATAAAAAAGCCATTATGCGTCCATTATTGGAACTGGAAGCCTAGCCCACTTTCACTTCGTCAAAACCCAAATAACAGCTCGCTATCCGTCCGCCTCTCTCCAGCTTCCCTCCTCTGCGCGATGATATGCAGCCTCCTCCGGCCTCTTCCTTCTCCTTCGTCGCCGGCGAAGTGGGAGGCGAAGGAGATGACAGCGTGGAGGGATCATCCTCGGCGCCGGATAAGCGGGAGGGGAAAGGAGATGACGGCGTGGAAAGGTGTAGCCTCTCATCTTGAACTTCCTCTGCATCTCCTTTTCAATCGCCACGCTCCTATCTCTCGGTGACGAATGGACACGCATGTCAGAGGCATTGACCGCATGTCGGTGCTGCATAGGGCGAGCCTTCGCTGGTCCTTGCCTCTGGCCGACCACTGAAGTCCGGCGATGGGCTGGAGGAAAAAGGAAGGGAAGGAAAAAAAAAAGAAAGAGAAAAAAAAGAAAACAACAAAAAATATAATAAAAAATAATTAATAAAATATCAAACTGGTACACATGTGATAAATTTACCCCAAATTAATTTTTTTACCATCAAAAAACCCTAAACTGATACACCTGTGATAAATTTATCCAAAACTTATTTTTCGACCTCCAAGAACTCTAAACCGGTACACTCATGACAAATTTATACCAAATTAATTTTTTGACCACCAAAAACTCCAAATTGGTACACCCTTGATATATTTGTCCTATGTTAGCTTATGTCGAATTTTACCGTTAAATTTGCTGAACTGTGTGAACCATGGTAACATGGTATGGTGAAGTGGGAAGTCCACTTGGAAATCCATAAGATAAATACCACGAATAACCCCAAAACGGTACAATCATTTTGTCACAAGCGTACCGATTTGAAATTTTTCGTGTTATTAATCATATGGATTTCCGCGTGGACTTTCCACGTCAACATATCACATAATCATGTGTCATTCATGTCAGCAAATTTAATGCTAATATTTGACGAAAGTTAATGGAGGGTAAATATATCACGGATGTATCAGTTTACGGTTTTTTGTGATAAAAAAATTAGTTTTGAGAAATCTGTCACAAGTATACCAGTTTGGGATTTTTTGTGGTAAAAAAATTAGCTTGGAGTAAATTTGTCACGGATGTATCGATTTAGTATTTTTCATGATAAAAAAGAAATCAGTTTGGAGTAAATTTGTTACGTGATTTTTTGTGATATCAACCCTAAACAAAAAGCCACTGTTGCTCTTAAAAGTAAATAGTTTCTGGTCTTGCCAGAAAATAAAAATGAAATTCAGCAGAGAGAGGTCTCTTTCTCTCTCCTCCAGCAAGCAGAGGGCTTTACTGTTAGGGTTTTGAATCGACTGCCACCACCCCCACGGCTCCTCCTCCTCCTCCTCCCTCCGCAAATCTCTGTACATGTCTTCTCAGCCAGCGACATCCAGTCCCTCTCGCATGAGATTTCGCCACTGACCCACGTTTTCCACTCTCTGCTCACTTCAACAATCCGCGCCCTCGTTCGCTGTCTGAGGTACGGTTCTCACGAAAGCTTTCTTCTTTCTTCTTTTTTTGTTTTTGTCGCTTCTTGGTCTCGAATTCTGCTCCTGCCGTTGGCTGATCGAGTTTGATGTTGCTTCGCTGATTCTCAGTTCGTGTATGGGGATGACCTTTAGAATCTCTCGCTCGCTTGAATTATATGAACACCACCGCCTTCACGAAACTGGGCACCACGTGTTCGACGAAATGCGCAAACCAAGTCTATGTGAGTTTTGTATCACTTGCTCGTTGCTCACTCTGACCCCCTCCATTATCTCGCTCTCTCTCTCTCTCGCTTTCTCTCAAGTTGGTCCTCAATGGTTGGCATGGATGCCAATTAGCAGGTCTGGTCATTTGTTTGCCAATCTTTGATCTGTTACGCTATGTTTAGTGAGTATTTTGGGAGGTAAAGAAAATTGTGTAGAAAATGATTTTCCTTATAGTTGCCTGGAAGAATAGATGTGGGGTGAAGCAAATCTGGAGAAATAGACTTCTCTATGTCAAAGATGAAAAATAAGATGAAAGAGAAGTGTTTGTATGAAAAACCACGTTTTACCCTTTCTCGGTCTCTGGTCTCCGGTCTCCAGCCTCCGGCCTCCGGCCTCCACTCACGCCTGCCGTAACCCAGGCCGCGGCAACCCAGCTCTGACCTCTCTCGGTACCTGGTTTCTAGTGTGTCTAATTACTTACTTGTATTTTTCAGTTCTAGTATTGATAGCTATAGATTTGGTAGTACTTGCAGCTCGTCGGCAACGTGCGGGTCATACACCTGTTTGATTTGATGAAATAACTCTTCTTGACAGTCTAGAAGATAAGTTCAGCTGAAGCAGTGTTTGGGGAGAGAGAAAAGGATGCCTCTTTATGACTGTGTGCTTTTGCTGAAACCCCATGTAAAGAAGGAAGCTTTGATGGAATTGGTGGCTCGGATCGGAAGAGACGTCTATATGAAAAACGGGGTCCTCACTGAGATAAAATCATTCGGGACGGTCCAATTGGGTTATGGTATCAAGAAGCTTGATGGGAGATTCTATCAGGTGATTCTTCTGTTGAAATTCAAGCCCTTTTGCTTGCTCGCTCTCTCTCTCTCTCTCTCTCTCTCTCCATCAACAGATAATTCTCCTGTTGGCTTGTCAAATGGTGTTGTGCTTGTGTTATGCAGTTTGACTTGATCATCTTATTTGTTAAAATACCCAGGTTTATGTAACTTGGAAGCTACAAAGGAGCTATCTGGTTTGACAGAATGACAGAGAATACTCTCTAGAACAAGATAATGTAATAGAATATGACAGAAGATGATGCAGAAATGCTGAATCTAATAGGTTCCGCAACCGTTTGACAATTGGATTGCTTAACGCGACCATGTATTTGGATGGCTCTTTGCCTTATGCTCGAAGCAGCAAGCTGCAGGAGAAATTGATAATGTTGGCACATATGTTGAGCAAAATAATTCTAGCTTATGAGAAAATCTCATAATGTGACAATGTATTTGGCTGGCTTTTTGCCTTATGTTTGAAGTGGAAGCCATAGGAGACGGTAATTATACAGGCAGATATGTTGGAACAAATATTAACTAGCTTTTGAGAAAATCCCATACTGGATTTGAGTTGTATGTTTGGTTTTGCACAGATGCTGTTACCATCCTAGCTTATTGCTGTTAATACTTACTATAGTCTCTTTTGAATCTAAGTTAAATAAAGACTACTATAGCGATTGATGGAAGATTTAATTTGCGTTGTTGGTCTGGCAGGAAAATCACACCAGAGTTCACTCTACTGTTTACTTACTTTCGAGCTGGCTATTCTTGTTAAACTTTTCATTCGATTTGGTTTTGCTTTCAACCGAGTAACTTTGGTGATTGACTGGCAATAAACTCACTGGAAACCTGATTCGATAGTTGGTTTGTATAATTTTAATCTGATTTTAATATTAATTTGATATGGCAGCACGAGTTCAATAATATTTTATAAAACTAAAGGAAATTCAAGTGACCAAAATAAAATTTATCTAAAGTTGAGTGGGTTGCAATGCAAAATTATCTACAGTTGAGTGACCTACAATGAAAGTCTAATAAAGACACATATGCCTTCTGTGTCAATATTACAATGATACCAGGTCAAATTTCTAATGAGATTTTGAACGGCTGGTCAACAGAGTGACCTTATGGAGAACAAAACCAAAGTTGAGTGATCTATATGCTGAATTTGAAAGTTGAGCGATCTATTTGAAAGTTAAAAGTTGATGATGTCTAGTGTGATTTACCCTTGTTCTGGCTCTAATATGTTCTGTTTGGATGGGCTCTCTATCTGCTACTCTTCCTGATGAAGCAGTGAGATGATATTTGGTTGGTTGCACTTCTACCTTGTGAAGGAAAGAGAATTGTAGGTCTCTTGCTATTTCTCTCGTGTTGGTTTCTTTGATCTAGACTTTTATATAGCTTTTATGTTTCTTTTGCACGTCATGCAGGGTCAGATGATGCAGTTGACCATGATGGCTACACCAATGATGAACAAAGAGCTGCATTACTTGAATAGGGAAGATAGATTATTGCGCTGGCTTCTTGTGAAGCACCGAGACACAAAATATGGGCTGGAATTTCTTACTGAAGAAGATGAGAAGCGTGAACTGAGCAAATTTCCTCGTAGCTTTATATATAATGATAAGGATGAAGCTAAGGATGAAAATAATGATGACGACGACGACGACGACGACGACGATGAATATGAGGTGGACGGAGAGGAAAAGAAAGAAGAATAAAGAGCAAATCGTTGTGTCTGGGGTCGTGGATTTCATTTATTTGATGGGTATTCAGGTCCTGCTTCATTGTTAGCAGATGCTCATACTCGCGTTTAATATCTCTCATATGCAAAATGTGCTTTCATTTTATGTGCTACTGCCATCTACCTGCTGAAAGTAGCTGTGAGAATGAAGGTTTTAGTTCCTTTTGGCGGGTTTCTTTTGTCAGTGAGTGGTATGAAGTACCAAACTTTTACCGATAACATAATACAGAAATGAGAGAGACTATATGGCGTGACTGCGTGTTGGATTTGTGTCTCATGAATGGGTCAATCTCGAAGAACTTCATTTGATTATAGGAACTTCCCAAGTTTGGCATTTCTTGTTTCGATGCTGCCTTTGGCTTCTCTTCAGTTCTCGTTTAGTATGTAAAGCCAATCCAATCAGAGAGCAGTTTCACAGCATGACCTACGTGGTAGATGATAGTTAACAGCTGGTGTGGATCATGTTCAATGCGACATCCGCGATGGAAGCAATTCTAAGATCTTTCGAGTGTTACCCACACATCGCTGTCCAGCAGTGTTTCGTGAGTGATGCTGCTGAGCTCTGGACGACATGGTATTATGTTACCGAACTTTCTGGTGCCACAAGAATTCTTTCCATTTTAATCCATGAAACTGTAGGAAATTCTGAATGAGCATCGCCTATGCAGCTGACTTAATACGGTCCCCGCAATTTTGTAGTTGGTGGAACGCAAGGTTTAGCAGATGATGAGAGGAACATTCAAAGTCCATGCACTTCTGACGTCTTTTTGTAGTTAATACTTTCACTGAAAACATTAAAATCTAAACAACTACACTTGTGTTTCTTCACTGAGAGATGACACTAAGTACCGTTCAAGCTGTGCAGAGACTCTGAGATCACTTCAATTTCCTTCATCAAAACACAGTACACTGGTAAATACCATGAGCAAATGAGAATAAAATAAGGATAAGGTATTTTGTCGTGGCGGTTGTGCGAGTTGATAGTTAAACATGAAGAACTAAACCCGAAAAGAGCCAAGAGATTTTACAACGGCCGTACAACTTATATATATAATACCATTCCTAATCCTGTCATTGTAAAATATGCTAATTTTGCTTCACAGATGGTTTTCCACAATGAATTAACTACCAAGATATGCATCTCGCAGCAACTTCAATATTTCGGCATTCTCAGATTACTTGAAACTCCACGAGCAGAATGTGGTCTGAGACTCCGAAGTTTATGGCTTCCCTCCATACATTATTACTGGCGAAAGATAGAATTTTCTTAATATGTCACATTTACAATGAATTGGAAAACCACATTAGTGTAATGCTTGAATCAATTTTTTCTCTTTCAGTGAATCAAGCAAACAAATCAGCAATCGCACCAGCTAGATTAATAGGATGAAGCCAAACAGGTAAAAGTACTCCCGGAGAAAGGCATCTGCATTTTGAAGCACAGCTATGTAGAGCTGCTTCATTTTTATAAATATCCAGAATTCTAATATTTGTATGAATTGGTTGAAGCCACATTAGCCAAGTCAACTTCAACCAAAAGAAGCAAAGCGAGATGATCTTTGCAACATATAGTTCATCTAAGACAGTGAACTGCATGAACCGTTAATTTTCTAAGCATAAGCAAAGAACTAACGACTGGATTGTCCCATTATCCTCTGCAATATCAGTGTCCTCGCCATCCGTATCTCGCGGCTACTCTTATCAGCTTGTGTACCGAGATCCTCGATAGTTTTCATGAATTCTTCCACCCTTTTTTTGATCTCTAACATTACAAGCTTCACCGCTTCTTCCTCTTCTTCTCCAAGAGCGAAGTTGGCATTTTGCAAGATCGACTCAATCTCATTTTCCAGCTTACTCACAAGCGACCGAATCGTCTCCAAGTCATAAATCGAGAACTCAGTTCCCACTTTCATTAGGCTTATCAACTCCTTTTTCCCTTTTAGTTCCCTTCGGTAGTTTTTCCACAAAGAATCGCACCACTTGCCGACTGTCCCTATTGGAGCTGCCAGAGCAGCGGCTAGAGCAGTTGCGACAGGCGGCGCAGCGATCGCGACCGCCACTACCGAGAAGATCAAAGTGGACACGAAGGCGGTCACGAATATGGCATTGGTCACCCTTCTCCAAGTTTGTGCAGATTTGAGATCCTTGTCAAGCTTCTTCTTACGAGCCCGCAGCTTCTGCAACATCTCTTCCTGCTGCTTCTGCACCGAGTGAAAGAGCTTGGAGAACTCGCCCGTGAATGGATCACCCGCTTCTTTGAATTTCTGGAGCTCCTGCAATGTCTTGACATACCTCTCCCCTCCCACATTCTCTCCTCTCTCTTCCTCAAAGTGCATAAGTGCAAGCTGAATCCTCAACTGGCTATCGCGAACCCGCCTCAGGCATTTCTCGAGGGAAGTGTAGAATTCTAATATCTGTAGGCCATGCTTGAAGTAATGCTCCACTAACTGGGACAGCTCTTTGTCATGATATATGTCATCTTGGGATGCAAGAATGATCTTAGCTAGTTCATGGTTCATCTCAAGAAGGCCAGTGGTCACCTCTCCTAGAGAGTTGAATGTTAGGGATTGCTTCTCAGCACCATCTGCCAGTGTCCTAATTACTCTATCAGCTCGGTCATGTAAGGTCTTATCAAAATCTTGCAAGCTCGGGTCGGCTCTACAGGCAGCTTCATAAGAGGTCAGGTCAGACTGGTATCTTGGATTGCTGTCTTCCATTGATGAAGAGTCTGCTTCCTTGTTCTTACTTAATTTCCCACCCATGGTTTGGATCCCAAAATGTATATAGTGGGGATTGCCAAAAAAAAAAACTCCAAAACCAAAGCCTTCTTCAAGTTTTGCTAATCAAGCACAGTATTTGAATTATATCTATTAATGGTGGGCTACGGTTAAAAATTTCCCAAAATATCTGTGCTTAGATTTACCAGAAAAAAAAATGCAGGACTCGCAGATTACTCACAGATCAGTTAAACCCCCTTCTCTTTTTTGCTCTTCTTCTTGTGAGCTTACCTCAGTTTCAGCTGAAGTTGCAAAGATAAGATGATCTTGTCTTCACTTCAACACCTCCAAAAGACCAAACCAAGCTCAATCACTGTGCAGACACCAGGAGTCAACTGCAGAAACTGAGATCTGCTTTCAAGAAGACAAGAAAAAGGGGACTTGGATCTTCAAAGGCTGATCTTGAGGCGGCTTGATGGAAGGATGAAAGCTGTGAGGGGGTTTGGGAAGAGGAGAAGTCCAGGGGAGAACCAGAAGGAACCCGGAAATGGGGAAGGAGATGAAAGGCTGACCAAGCGGTCGGCAGCGGCCTCAAGAACAGTCTTCCAAGCAGGAGGTTGACTATTACTCTTCCATTATTTGTTTTCTTTGTCCTAAGTCTTTGGTTTCAGTAGCTCCACCAATCCAACCATTGATGACCATAATTATTGCGATGCCCTTTTGGCATACCAGATTTTCTTTTCCTCTGAAACAATGAGATAATATTTAACGTAATTCATAAATTTTTAATTTATTTAAAATATAATTCATAAATTTAAGCTTAATATGTAATGAAGTCCCTTAACTTTTAATTTATTCAATATAATCCCTAAAATTTTGATAAATATTCAAATTAATCTCTAGACTATGTGAAAATATCTAATGTTATGGTTCTATTAATATAAGTTCAGGGATAACATTGACCGGTTTGAACATGCACCAAAAGTTCAAGCATCATATTAAACTAATTAAAAGTTTATGAACGATATCACGCATTAGGTTAAAGTTCAGGGATCATATTGCACATTGGATCAAAGTTTTAAGGATTATTTATATCATTTTTTCTTTTTCTTTTTCGGAATTGATTTTATGAGATATGAAGTGATATATTGCATTTTTATTATGTATTTAAATGCGATTTTTTTTTTCGTCAGTATCAATTATAGGGTGCTGATGACTATAGTATAATGAAAATGGAGGTGGTTATCATTTCACTGGCCTCGACAGTGAGAGCCAATCTGTCGTTGGGGAAAATTTGGCAATGGTGATGGGTAGGTGTAAACGGTTCGGTTCGGTTCGGTTTTGGCTTGAAAACCGAACCGAACCGAACCGTATGCGGCTCCGAACCGAACCAAATAGGAACCGAACCATGGAACCGAACCGATAAGTCGATTTGGTTCGGTTTAGTTCGGTTTGGTTCGGTTTACTTTTCGGTTTCTTCTTCTTTTTTTTTTTTCGCACTTCTTCCCTACCCCCTCCTCGTCTTCTTCTTCCGCTCTCTCTTCCTTCTCTGCGAGACTGCTTCTTCTTTCTTCTTCCCGTCAAGAAGCAGGTCAATTGATGACCCACCACCAAAAGGCCCCACCAGATCACCACCGGAGTCGGCCATGGACACTCGCCGGAGACCGAACTTCCGGCGATCTGTACCCGCTCTAACAACAAAAGCGAGGACCGGGACTCGGACGACCCGTTTGGTTAATGGCGGCCATCACAAACACCTCGGAGCCGCCGTCGCCGGCCCAGGTGGACTCGATCTCGATGTCGGCATCGGCCGACGAGCTGACGGTCGAGGCCGTGAACAAGCGCTACAAGGGGCTTGTCATGCTACGGCCAAAGGCCGTCAAGGGGAAGGGCGCGTGGTACTGGGCGCACCTCGAGCCCATGCTCGTCCACAACGCCGACACTGGCCTCGCCAAGGCCGTGAAGCTCCGGCACTCCCTCTACGAGGCCGTCTTCTCCGCCTCCAACCCGTCGCGGACCGCCTCCGAGCACCTCAAGCGCGGCACCTGGCCCAACTTCAAGAAGCCGGAGAGAAAAATGTCTTTCGTCACTTTTTGGGAGATGATAATGATGCGAGCCTGCGAGGGAAGAGGAAGAGAGAGAATAAAGCAGGAAAGAGAGAGAGAGAGAGGAGAGCAGTGAGAGTGTGAAGACAGAGGAAGAGAGAGAATAAAGTAAAAAAGTGAGAGAGAGAGAAAAGTCAGTGAGAGGTGAGCAGTACTGCAGTAATGAACAGTGAGATTGAGGAGAGAGGGCGCGAAGGGAAGAAAACCACATTAAAAAACCGAAATCCGAACCGATTTGAACCGAACTGAACCGAACCATTGTGTTAACCAAATTCATTTATTTATTATCCGAACCGAAACGAACCGAACCGAAAATGCATGAATTTTCGGTTCGGTTCGAGTCGATTCAGATATCTCGATTCGGTTTTCGGTTCGGTTCGACACCTTTTAGTGATGGGTGATGTTGAACTAAAGGCAAATCGAACCGAAAAATCGAATCGAGATACGAACCGAACCGAACCGAACCGAACCGAAAATTTTATGCATTTCACTCGATTTCGGTTTCGGTTCGGATAATCAAAACTAACGAATTATTTTTTTCAATTCAGTTTATTTCAGTTCGGTTCGGATCGGTTCGAATCGAACCGAACTGAAATAAACAATTCGGTTTTAGCCCTAAATAGCCCTACCTCACCCAGTCGCTCTTTCTCGCGCTCGCATCTCCCTCTCCTCCTCGACGCTCCGCCTCCGAAATTCGCGACTCCCCCTCCGGCTCCGCCGCCGCCGCCGCCTCCGACGGCCGCAGCTCCCGCCGGGATCACGGGCCCGAGCCGGGCGTTTTCCTCGGCCGATCCGCGCGACCGAGCCCTACCGAGACGAGATCGCGACCGAGCCTCGCCACCGTCACCTTTTCCGTTCCTCGGTTCCCCGTCGTCGGCGGCGGCTCTTGGTGCAAGGGCACCGGCGGTATCATCCCCATCACCGAAGGATATTCGACAAAGCTCCGATTTTGCTGCACGATTCCGAAGCTGATTCGCGGCCGCGACAAACCCAGAGAGTTCCTGAGTGTTCTTCTTTGGGGTGAAAGGTTAGGGCTTCGATGTTTTTGTTGTTCTGGTATGCGTTTGATAGTGTGGATTGGCTGATTGTGTTATATGTGGATTATGATAGTCTCAGAGAATTGGAATGTGTTGAACGGAGTACCCTGCGTTGCTGTTGTTCTATACTTGCTCAATAAAATCATGAATTAAGTTAATGGTTCAGTGCAGTTTTGCTATCTGATTTTCGCTTTTGCTTTAGATCGGTTTATATTCTTATGTTGCAGTTAGGAAATATGGTGGGTGAAATGTATGCTTTTCAATTTAGTGGAGTTTCGCTATCTGAATTCCACTTTTGCTTTACCTGGATCGGTTTAGATTCTTATCTTGCTGTGGGGAAGCATGGTGGGCGAAATGTATGCTTTTTAATTCGTATAATTTCATATGTTCTACTTGTCATAGAAATCCATTCTAAAGTGAGCTACCCTTGGGGCACTGTTGTGGCATTTTAACCATTTACACGAGGTGAATTGTCAAAACTAGTTTGGAGACTGGGCTAACGTTTGTCCCTCATTTCTCCATATAAGATTGCATCAAGCCCCTTTTAGTGAATATGACCATCGTATAGATTGACTATGAGAAATGAGATCACTTAGAACTGGAGAAGAACAAGCCCTGTATTCTGTTGCAATTCGGAAATCTCATTAAACGAATGGGAAGTGCTTGATGATCTTTTTATCCTTATATATATGTAGATAGATTTCTAGATGGGATCTGATAATTATGCATCTTGTGCTTGACTTGTTCCTGGATATGCTGTTGATTTGTGGAGAAGGGACTGTTGCGAAGTAATGGGAGATTGGGAACTAAACCCTTTTATAGTCAGGCAGGGGATACAGTTGAACATTTTTGCAGGATCTGATTCTATATAAGTTGGCGGCGGTGTTTAATGTGGTTCTGAGTACCTGTGGAGGGCTTAGGTGCTTGACGACATGTTAATTGGAATCTTTGAATCATGTTTTTTTTTTTCTTATTCCTTTCACCTGTTTTTTTCTGTTGATATCTTGTTACGTAACATGTAAAGAGGATCCTTGTCACTGAGCCTACTTATTGGCTAAGGCCCAGCTGTTGTTATTGTTACATTCCCCAATCCCATATAATATATTGAATGATCATCATGTATTTTCCTGCATTGCTATCCATGTTTAACCTCAATATTGTTCAATTATTGGTGTTGACCTTCAAGTTACTGTCAAATACTACTCAATGCTGATGCATCATCTTGCTTCACTGTACCTATTCCTCGCTTTGGCAAAGATCTATTAAGGCCAATGAACTCACCCAATGTAGCTTGTCTTGGACAAATTAAGAAAACATTATAGAGCAGTTAATACGGTTTAGCTTGTATGCCAATATACTGAATGCTCAGTTATGCTTATATTGCAGGAGATCACTGAGTTTTCATGAAGTGTATGTCGCATTGTGTTGTTTACCAGGCAATGGATGTTTGTGGGCTTCCTGGAGCATTGTAGGCGGGTTGCATTCACATCAAGGGCCCTTTGAGGAAGCAGAGTACATAGTCTTGTGTATACTGTCACTGTATATATCTGATGGACACAGATAGAAGCAGCTGTTTCTTTCTTTTATTCTGTGAATGCAGACTAGTTCCAACACCAATTTTTTTTACTCCTATACCTTATATCAGAAGGACTTGTCTTTTATCCGCTGTTAGTTTATGAAAGACCCCAAACAATATGCTTTTGGTCAGTTTGGCTGATTTTAAGGAGCATTAGAGTAGATCACTGCGGTTGAGCAGCGAAAATTTCCTGTAGCTTTCTTCTTTCTGTTAGACGTTGAGCGAAAGTTGCTGATAGTTTGAAGAAGGCAAAGCTTGGATGATGATGAAAATGATGCAGATGCATCACTATGTAAATGATTGTCTTTCCTGAAAAGCCCGCTTTAGGAATACAAATCAGTAGATTAATTCAATGACCACAAGCTACGTATAAGCGCTCCACGACTTGCTTAACTGCTTTATTTATTTATTATTATTATAATTACTATTATCTTCATTTTTGAAAGAGAAAATTGTGCATGTGAAATTCCCTTCGCCCCCCGGGCTCCCCCTTTTTTTTTTTACCAATATAAATAAATAAATCCGTCATACAAATCATTTATATAAAAACAAACATGTAATGCATAATTATACAAATCTATATTACCAATAAAAATAAATAAATCTATCGTACAAATCGGTTTTATGAAAACTAGACTTGTCAAAAGGGTGGGTTGGGTAGGGTTTGGGTTGTGTCGAAAATGGTCCGACCCAAATAGATCCATTTAACTCGTTTTAAGCTATTTTCCATATAATGTAAATCGAATGACTTATAACTGATTTGACTTATATTATTATAACACTTTCATATTTAACTCAATTTAGGAAAACTCATATCCAAATTTAGATGAGAGTGCGAAGTGAGTGAGCACGAGAATGAGTGATGGCGAAAGAGATGAGTTTAAACAAGTTGTTAATTCATTTATGATCCATCTAACACTCATATTATGTTTATACCCATTGATGATCCATTTAATGAATATAACCGACACATTTATATGTGTTAAGAAATTAATTTATGACCCATTTTGACAGGTCTAACTATTACACAAAGGAAGTCATACGAAATGTGCTAATTGCACCCTTTTTTGTCATTTTGTTATTTCACCTAAGATGTGAGATTAAATTTCACTCTTTCGATTATATATTAGATTGGATATGCATAGTAAAAGAAAAAAAAAGAAGAAGAAACCGAAAACTGATCCGAACCGAACCGAACCAAATCGGTTTTTCGGTTCGGTTCTAATTCGGTTCGAGCGAGTTTTGATTCTGGTTCAGAGTGCCTTAACTTTCGGTTCGGTATTTCAAGAAAACCGAACCGAACCAAACCGAACCGTTTACACCCTACTTGCAAACCCAAACATACATTCGCTTCGTTTGTATCAAAGAAAATGGACGCCGTGGAAAATATATTTTTTTTAAAAACTAACTAATCGGGAAAAGGATTTTTTCTTATATTTGGCTGTATTTTACAAACAATATTTAAGTCATCCATCGACGATTGATACATGAAAAATAAGAAACACATATTAGGAAAAAAATCTCGACCACAATCCAAAGTCTCGAGTTCCGACACTGAGGACCTAGGCTCGAGCGTCGGAGTCTCGGATGTGGCCTTGAGGGACTCGAGCCCAGCTACCACGATCCCAAGCCTAGTTATCAGGAACCTTGGCAAATGAGAAAAATGTTTTTGATCGACTCAATTTTTTTTAAGAGATCCAAACACCGGCAAATGAGAGACATGAGGAATTTTAAGTGTTATCAATAAGAATAGCGGATCAAATTATTATTGACTCGTTTCTCCACGGAAGCGATGCAAATCATACATTTTGTATGTTCGTTTGGTACCATCAGATAATCCGCAATGAAAACATTGTCGTCCAAATAATTCACTAAAAACGCAACATTCCACAGATAATTCGCTCCTGGGAAAGTTTTCTTCGTAGTTTTTGATATGATGGGATTGAAATGGAGGGAAACGTAGTCCATTACATCAGCTTTTGTTTGCTGGTCGAACATTACATCATCAGCTTATTATGGGTCAACTCTCTTGCGCGAAACGGAAGGCAGTCAAGAATGACAGTCGCCAAAGGATGATCGGACATATCAGCACTCCTCGACAAGTGAACAGCTTCCTTCTCTGACCAAAAAAAAAAAACCTGCTTCCTTTACTGCAAAACCTCGTCGGCTTTTGCCGACGTTCGTTGGGTTTCTACCGGATCAACCTCTAAGGTCCCGGAGACTTCGAATTTTCCCATCATCTGATTTGAGATCAACTGCGAAAGCTCTCGAATTATCATCTCTGCGGAGAAAGAAATCGGAGTTACTTGATATTCAAGTAGAAAAATTAGACATTGTACTCACTTCTCCGATATTTTGGCGCTAGATATTTTTCATTGGAAATTTCCTCGTGTACAAATGGATGTAAAATAATATATAAAAAAAAACATAACATACCGTACAGAAAACTCGAGTGAAAATTACCAAAAAAAGTCATAAAACTATTATACTTGTGTTAATTCAATTTTAAACTTTTCAATTTGATCAGTTTAATTCTAAACTTTTTGATAATCTGTCAATTAAGTCATTCCGGCTAATTTTGATCGTAAATCGTTAACACGAATGTTAGTCGTCTTAAGTAGCATAGCCGGCATTGACGTGGACAATTTTTACAAATTTTTTTTAATTTTTAAAATTTTTGTCCTTGATCATATCATGGCTGGCCGAGAAGGCCCTCGCTAGATCTAGGAGGGCCGCCTCCCTTGTAACTGGCGAGGCTACGATAGCCTCAACGGGGCTGCAAAGGCCCTGGGTGAGGGCCTTCACGGCTGGCGTCACAAGCACAATGAAAGAAAAAGCAAAGAGAAAAAAAAAATAATAATTCAAAAAAATAAAATAAAATAATTGTCCACGTTAGTATCTGCCGTGCCACGTAGGACGACTGGCGTCCATGTCAATGATTTCTGACCAAAATTGGTCAAAAGGACTCAATTAGCAAATTGTCAAAAGGTTTATGACTAAATTGGTTAAATTAAAAGGTTTAGAACTGAATTAGCACAAGTGCAATAGATTTAAGACTTTTTTGGTAATTTCCTGTAAACTCGATAAAAGAAGTGATTGGATTTTTGAACAATGTGATGGAGAAAATTAGATAATATGTTTTTATCAATTTCATAAATCGATACAAAAATGGTAGAATAAACTAAATATAAGTTTCTTGTCATTTAGATCTATAGATTCATTCAATGTTGTCTGATGCGTGGCTGCAACTTTTGTGGAAAACTTTTAGCGACTTGCCTAGCACTTATGACGCGAATGATAACTATTCTATCTTCCTATTTTTTTATTTTTTATTTCAAAGAACATGTTTAGAATAAAAATATGTACGGTAAAATAATTTCATTTTCTATTTTTGAGACAAATTGTTAGCCTAAAATTAGATTTGAAACAGAAATAAGAAGTTAAAATTTTCTACTTTTCTATTTTTGGAACAGAAACATAAATAACAACTCTCTTTTATTGCTTTCCCCTGTCGCCTGCCACCACCTACTTGCCGACCGTCCACCTGCCGTTCGATGTTGCCTGCCGGCCACCTGTCGCCCGCCACTGCCCACTCGCTAGCCGTCCGCCGCCTCCCATTGTCCACTGCTGCCCAACGATCGATCGTCGAACGCCATCGTGCACTCACCAGCCATCTGCCGCCTTCCATCGTCCACCGCTGCTTGATGGCCACCCGTCGCCCGCCACCGCCCACTCACCGGCCGTCAGCCGCTGCCTTCCATTGTCCACCGCTGCCTAACGGCCGCCTGTTGCCTGCCACCACCCATTCGCCGGTCATCCGCCACCACCTCCCATCGTTCGCCGCCGCCCGACGGCCGCCCGTTGCCCACCACCGCCCACTCCCCAGTCATCCACCGCCGCCTCCCATCGTTCTCCGCCGCCCGACGGCCGCCCGTCGCCCGCCACCGCCCACTCCCCAGCCGTCCACCGCCGCCTCCCATCGTTCGCCGCCGCCCGATGGGCGCTCGTCGCCCGCCACCGCCCACTCCCGTCCGTCCGCCGCCGCCTCCCATCGTTCGCCACCGCCGACGGCCGCCGTCGCCCGGCCATCGCCCACTCTCGGCCGTCCGCCGCCACCTCCCATCGTTCGCCGCCGCCGTCGCCCGCCACCACCCACTCCCGGCCGTCCGCCGCCGCCGCCTTCCATCGTTCGCCGCCGCCGCCTCCCGTCGTTCGCCGCCGCCGCCCGCCGACCGTCCATCTCCGCCCGCCCACCCGTCAGTCGCCGGAAAAAGAAATTTAAGAATAACTTATCAAACGAATTTTATTCCGAAAACAGAAATTTTGTGTCGTTATTAAACATTACTTTTTGCTCAGAAACTCATCCGGAGAATAGAAATAAATTTTTCTATTTTTAACCAGAAATAGGGCTGGGGTGAGAGCAATTTTATCATTCGCGTCCTTATAATAACTAATAGGGAAAATGATACAAGCAGTCCTTAGACTTTGGCCCAATGTGCAATTTGGTCCCTGATTAGGCTAATGTGCAATATGGTTCCTGAAATTTTAATTTATTCAATGTCATCCTTGAATTTTTGGTACCTGTTCAATTCAGTCCTTGAATTATATGAAAATGTTCAATGCAGTGCCTGAACTTGAATTAATGGAAGGGACTACATTGAACATTTTCATATAGTGTAGGAACTGAATTGAACATATACCAAAAGTTCAGAGATGACATTGAATAAATTAAAAGTTTAGGGACCACATTAAACGTTACCCTAAAGTTCAGAAACTACATTGGACAAATTAAAAGTTCAGGGATCAAATTGCATATTGGGCCAAAGTTCAGGGACTGTTTGTGTCATTATCCTTAACTAATATTAGGGACTTGGTCCCACATGTCCCACGTTGTTTGGATGTGCACAATTAGCATAAACATGATTTCGCGGAATGTGAAGCTGTGTGCACCTCCTCTTTAAATGTGACTCGAGCCTCTATATAGAAATCATATTCATCCCTCAAGCATGTGATCTCAGTCTCACTAATGCTCTCGGTTGCGCGCCTAGTTTGCCACCTTATAAGAGAAAAAAAAAAACCTAGTGCTCATCCAATTGAAAAGCGCCAAGTCTATAAGTATGAATGCAAACTACTAAAGGAAAATAAACCACCATTGTTTGCAAACCCTATTTCTGCCCTAAGGACTCAAAATCCTTTCCAAGTGGAGCTCTCCCTCATTGTCATTCTCTTCCTTCCTTCGAAATGTAACCGCAAAGGGATTCCAAACCCCTTCAATTAAACTAAACATAAGGAAGGCAGGAACTTTGTTGTCAAACAATGTTTCTAGTAAAGAAGCAACGAGGTCCCTGCCTGTCGTGCCAGAGAACCAGGTTTGATCCCCGGCAACGGCGCTTTTCAGACTATGCACAAACTCTGACATCACTTCATTTTCCTTCATCAAATCACGGTACATTGATAAATACCATAAACCAAAACAAGGATAAGGTATTTTGTGCAGCGGTTGTCCGACTTGAGTAGTTAAATCGTCAATGGCATTAGCCAGATCAACATGATGAAGCCTAAAAGGTAAAAGTTAGCCCAAAGGCATCTGCATTTTAAAGCACACCTAAGTAGAACAGCTTCGTTTCTGTTGATCTCTATAATCCTAATATTTGTATGTATTGGTTGAAGCCACATTAGCCAAATCAACTTCAACCAAGAGGTGCAAATCTTTGCAACATTAAAGTTCATCCAAGACAATGAACTGCATTAACCATTAATTTTCTAAGCATAAGAAAAGAACTAACGACTGGATTGTCCAATTAGCCTCTGCCATATCACTGTCCTCGCCACCCGTATCTCGCCGCTACTCTTACCAGCTTGTGCATTGAGATCCTCGATAGTTCCATTGATAGCTTCCACCCCTTTCTTGATCTCCAACATTACAAGCTTCACCGCTTCTTTGTCTTCTTCTCCAAGAGCGAAGTTGGCATTTTGCAAGATCGACTCAATCTTAATTTGCAGGTTACTCACAAGCGACCCAATCGTCTCCAAGCCACGAATAGAGAACTTAGTTGCCTCTTTCATTAGGCCAATTAACTCCTGTCGCCCATTTAGTACCCTTCGGTAATTTTTCCACAAAGAATCGCACCACTGGCCGACTGGCCCTATTGGAGTTGCCAGAGCAGCGGCTACAGCAGTAATGACAGGCGGCGCAGCGATCGAAACCGCCACGACCGAAAAGATCAAAAAGGATACGAAGGTGGTCACGAATATGGCAATGGTCACCCTTCTCCCAACTTGTGCATTTTTAAGATTCTTGTCAAGCTTCTTCTCACGAGCCTGCAACTTCTGCAACATCTCTTCCTGCTGATTACGCACCGAGAGCTTGCAGAACTCGTCGGTGAATGGATCGCCCACTTCTTTGAATTTCTGGAGCTCCTGCAATGTCATGACATACCTCTCCCCTCCCACAGTCTCTCCTCTCTCTTCCTCAAAGTGCATAAGTGCAAGCTGAATCCTCGACTGGCAATCGCGGGCCCGCCTCAGGCATCTGTCGAGGGAAGTGTAGAAATCTAATAACTTTGAGCCATGATCGAAGTAATCCTCCACTAAACGGGACAGCTCGTTGTCCTTCCATGTGTCTTCTTTGGATGCAAGAATGACCTTAGCCAGTGCATGGTCTATCTCAAGAAGGCCAGTGGTCATCTCTCCTACAGAGTTGAATGTCAGGGACTGATTCTCAGCATCACCTGCTAGTGTCCTAATTGCTCTATCAGCTCGGTCATGCAAAGGTCTTATCAAAATCTTGCTAGTTAGGGTCGGCTCTACAGGCAGCATCAAGAGGTCAGGTCAGACTGGTATCCGGGATTCCTGTCTTCCATTGATGAAGAATCTACCTCCTTGTTCTTACTAAATTACCCACCCATCGTTCGGATTCGAATATGTGAAACATGGGGATTGCCCAAAACTCCAAAACCAAAGCCTTTTTCAAGTTTTGCTGATCAAGCACAGACCTCGTATTGTCTCTATCAATGGCGGGCAACAGTTGAAAATTGCCCAAAATATCTGTGCTTAGATTAACCAGAAAAATGAAGGACTCGCAGATTACTCACAGATCAGCTAAGCCCCCTTCTTCTTTTTGCTCTTCTTTTAGTGAGCTTACCTCAATTTCAGCTGAAATTGCAAAGAAAGGATGATCTTGTTTTCGCTTCAACTCCTCCAAAGGACCAAACCAAGCTCAATCACCGTGCAGACACCAAGAGTAAACTGCAGAAACTGAGATATACTTTTACTCACAGATCAGCCAAACCCCTTTCTTCTTTTTGCTCTCCTTTTTGTGAGCTTACCTCAGTTTCAGCTGAAATTGCAAAGAAAGGATGATCTTGTTTTCGCTTCACCTCCTCCAAAGGACCAAACCAAGCTCAGTCACCGTGCAGACACCAAGAGTAAACTGCAGAAACTGAGATATACTTTTACTCACAGATCAGCCAAACCCCCTTCTTCTTTTTGCTCTTCTTTTTGTGAGCTTACCTCAGTTTCAGCTGAAATTGCAAAGAAAGGATGATCTTGTTTTCGCTTCAACTCATCCAAAGGACCAAACCAAGCTCAGTCACCGTGCAGACACCAAGAGTAAACTGCAGAAACTGAGATATACTTTAAGAAAACAAGAAAAAGGGTCTTGGATTATGAAAGGAGCCGAGAAGTTGGACTGCTTCAACCAGAAGCAACCCGGAAACGGGGAAGGAGATGAGAGGCTGACCAATCCGGTCGGCAGTGACGTCAAGAACAGTCTTCCAAGCAGGAGGTCGACTCTTAGGGAACGCTTAGGGCGCGCATGAAATCCATTCTGGAGCGTAATGACGTTTGTTAAAAAAATTTCGGAATGCATTCTGAAAAAAATTTTGCATTCTGGAACAAAAATGTGTTTGGTAAAAACGCAATCTTTTTTTAGCTCCGGAATGTATTATTGATTCCAGAATGAGTTTTGGCCCAAAATTCTGGAGCTATTTTTTTTAGCTTCTCTCGTTCTGGAAGCGATTTCTTTCTTGTCTCAAAAAATTCCTAAAAATTAGAAAATTTGGGAAATTCCTAAAAATCTAAAAAAAATTCAGAAAATCCATAAAAATTGAAAAATTCCAGAAAAATTCATAAAAATTTCCAGAAAATAAAAAAAAGTCAGATTTCGGGAAAATAGAAAATTTATTAAATTTTTTCCAAAAAATCTCGAAAATTCAAAACTTCACAGAATGGCTTAAAATATAAGTAACCACCCACTTTGAGTGAAATTTAATTTTTTTGAGGTATCCAAAAAAATTCAAAAAATTCAAAATTTCACAGAATGGCTTAGAATACTTGTGGCCACCCACTTTGAGTAAAATTTAAATTTTTTGAGGTGCCAAAAAAAAATTAAAAAATTCAAAACTTCACAAAATAGCTTAAAATACATGTGGCCACCCACTTTGAGTGAAATTTAAATATTTTAAGGTGCCCAAAAAAAATAAAAAAAATAAAAAAATAAAAAATTTCAAAACTTCACAAAATGACTTAGAATACCTGTGGCCACCCACTTTGAGTGAAATTTAAATATTTTGAAGTGCCCAAAAAAATCAAAAATTTCAAAACTTCACAAAATGGCTTATAATACATGTGGCAACCCACTTTGAGTAAAATTTAAATTTTTTTAGGTGAAAAAAAAAATCAACAAATCAAAACAGATTTTTGTTCCAGAAATCAATTTCTGGAGTAGAATTAGTTATGTTTTACCAAACAGATTTCTCATCCAGAAATCAATTTCTGGCAAGAATTTGATTTCTGGAGCAGAATGGTTACCATTCGCACCCTTAGCAATAAGCCAAACAATAATTATTTCTATTCTTTTATTTCTAGAATTAATTTTGAAAAAAAAATTCGTTTGATAAATTTTTTGTTCACGGATACAAATTTACAAAAATTTATTTCCAGAATCAGTTTTGAAACATAATCAAGAAGGAAAAAAAATGTTGCTTCTTGATTCTGGGAACAAGAATCAGAAATGAAAAAGAAATTTTTGTTTTTTTTCTTCTTCTTAGTTTTCTTCTTCTTCCTGGTCTGTGGCTAGTCGTCGGCGGTGACCGGCCACAGGTCAGGGCCGGCGAGGGCGAGGGCTGCCCTCGTCGGATCTGGCGTGGGTGACCCTCGCCGCCACCCTCGCTGGATCTGACGAGGGCGACCCTTGCCCAAGCCGCCAAGGGTGGCCCTCGCCGGATCTGGCGAGGGCGACGGTGAGGGTCCAGCCCTTGCCAGCCCTGGCCTGTGACCGATCGCCGGCGTCGTCGACCTAGCCATGGCCAAGGAAGGGGAAGAAGAAGAAAAATAATAAGAAAGAAATATTAAAAAATTTAAAATATTATTAATAAAAAGAAATTTTGTGCAGTTACCAAACGCATTTCTGTTCTTTTTCTATTCCAAGAATAGAAATTTTGGGCAGTTACCAAACACTTTCAAATGCTTAGAAATTGTTCCTAGGCACGGAATAAAAAAGAATCACTTCTGAACAGAAATTATTTTCGGGAACATAATGGTTGCAAAATGCACCCTTACTCTTCCATTTGTCTCTGTTCCTAGTCTTTGCTTTCAGTAGTTTCACCAATCCAACCATTAATGACCGCGAAAATTGGCAATGGTGATTGGTGATGTTGGCTTGGCAATGCCAAAGATATATTTGTTTCGTTTGTATCAAAGAAAATAAATGCCGCTCAAAAATATTTTTTGAGCAAACTAACTTATGAGGAAAAGGATTTCGATTTCTTTATATTTGGGTGTATTTTACAAACAATAAATGGAAGTCACTTATCAACGTTTGTTACATAAAAAATATGAAACACACATTTGAGAATTGATGTCAAGTACAGCCTTAAGTCTCGATTCCCAGCGCCAAGGACCTGGGCTTGAGCTATGGGGTCTCGGATGCGGCCTTGAGGGACTCAAGCCCAGCCATCGAGATCCTAAGCCCAGTTGTCGGGACCTCAGCACAGGCACTTGGGTCTCGGTCTTGGCCTCAAGGGAATAGGCCCTAGCCGCTAGGGATAGGGGTGTCAAAATTATCTGGCCTAACCCGAACCAACTCTATCGATCCGGCCTAGCCCAAAAATTTCAGGTCTTTCCAATTCGGGTCAGGTAATATATATAAAAACAAAATTGGGTATCTTAGTGTTTCGGTTCGGATCGGATCGTGTACCCGAACCGAAACGAAACACATTTTGATTCATTTGCTTCCTAGATTGATTACCCAAAAAAGCTTACTTCCCATTTTCTCTCTCTAACCACGAAACCCCATTCTCTCTCTCTCTCTCCATTTTCTCTCTCTAACCAAGCCTTCACTACGGTAATTTCTCTCCCTTTCTCTAGCGACGACAACATGCCGAGATCTAAGACTCGCCTCTGGTGGAGCTCGACCGAGCCCTAGATTCAGATCAAAACGGCTAAGATTCAAGAAAAAAAAGGAAGCAAGAAAGAGAGAGAGAGAGAGAGAGAGAGAGAGAGAGAGAGAGAGAGAGAGAGAGAGAGAGAGAGAGAGAGAGAGAGAGAGAGAGAGAGAGAGAGAGAGAGATGTTATCAGCGATGGAAGCAAGAAAGACCTTGAAAGTATCAAGAAAAAAAAGGAAAAGCACTCATGTAGAAATTTCGGGAGCTTGCAAGAAAAGATGGAATTTCTCTTGCAGGCTTGTGGAGAAGTGAGAGACGGAGTAACCATGAACAATTAACACAACAACAACTAGGGGTGAGCATGGTTTAAGATTCTACACTGGAACCTGAGAACATGACCGATAGGAACCTGTAGGTTTCAGGTTCCAAGGTATGCAGAGTAAGTTCCAAGTTTCAAAAATTAGGGAACCTGTTTCGATGGGTAAGTTCTAGGTTCTAAGTAGATGGAACTTGGAACCTAAACAAATTTTGTATGTTTTTTCTTGGTCTACGTCTTCACGTGATTCTATGGTGTTTCATGGCGTTAGATGATGAATGTATAATCTGGAACCACTAGTATGAACTTTCATTTTATGACTTGTTAATGTTTCAGATTATTCGTGTGTCTAAATATAAATTGTGATCAGTGGATTAAAGCAGCAAGTGGTGGTCATTAAAGGTGATGATTCGTTACAATTGTTCAATTAATAATATAAGAGGAACCTGGATAGATCCTGAAACCAACTTGGAACGTGTGATAGGGTAGGTTCCAAATTCCAAAAAATGAGGAACCTATTCTCATGGGTAGGTTCTAGGTGAAATCTGTACGAAACATGAAACCACTCACCCCTAGTATCAATTCACGCAATGACTTCTCATTTTAATTGTATTTATTTGAACTGTAATACTAGAAAAACTAGTCTTTTGTATTTTTTTTTTGTGAATGACAAGCTTGTTTAGTATTATTGTGCTCATTTTCATTTTATTTAACTAAAAATGAAATAAATAAAAAAAGAACCTATTCGACCCTGGAACCTGTGATAGGGTAGGTTCCAGATTTCAAGTTCCAAAGGGTAGATTCCAGGTTTCAAAAAATGAGGAACCTGTACATGAGGGTAGGTTCTAGGTTCTAAATAGAACCTGTAAGGAACCTGGAACCACTCACTCCTAGCAACAACACAAGAGAGCAAATTATGAAGAAAAATGCTAGCCCCAAAAACAAATGTTCCAGCAACAATGGATGAAGACTGCCTGATAGGAACAAAATATCGGGGGATGCAAAGTCGCAGAAGAAACAACACAGCTGGAAGTCACATTGCAGGCTAAGTTCCACAAAAAAAACAAAAACAAAAGCCCGAAACCTGACCCAGGTTTTCGCTTTGGGTCATATGCAATTCGGGTCGAGTTCGAGTTAGAGAGAACATGCATCTCTTGTGGTTCGAGTCGAGTAGCGTGGGAACCCAACCAATTCGACCCAATCCATTGACACCCCTAGCTAGGGACCCAAGCTTAGCCTCGAAGGACCTAGGAGTAGGCGTCGGTGATTCAAGCACAAGAGCCATGTACCAGGCCCATCGAGGTCCTTGGCCCAACCTCGGGGGACTCAGGCCTAAATGTTGGGGTTTAGTTGTATTTTGAAAAATGAGTTCTTATTTTCAAAAGAGGAAATTATTTTCCTAAATTTAAACATAGGTTTTTCATCGATTCATATTTTCTTTAAGAGATCCAAACGCTGACAAATGAGGAAAATGATTTTTGCCAATAAACTTTTTGCAAAACAAAGGAATTTCAAGTGTTATCAACAATAGTAGCATGGATGTCAATTCTTTTGCTTATATAACATGTGATCATCGGATCAATTTAGTACTGACTCGCTTCTCCACAGGAGCGATACAAACCATATGTTTCATATGTTCGTCCGATAGTATAAATACATAAAGCCGCTACAATTTCATACTAATTATTTCTTCTAGGAAAAAAAATTCCAGACGAAAATATTTTCCTCCAAATAATTCACGAAAAAAAAGTAACACTTGACAGATAATTCAGTCTTGGGAAAGTTCTGTATGGAGTATGATACGATGAGACCGAGAGAAACGTACTCCATTACATTCAGTCTCGGATTATCATCTCTGCGGTGAAAGGAATCGGAATCACTTGAGATTCGAGTCAAAAAATTAGATACTGTTCTCACTTCTCCGATATTAACAAAAGTTCTGCGCTAATTTTTTGCGTGTGAAATTCTGGACTTGAAATTTCCTCGCGTACAAATGGATGTAAAATTAAAAA